CACTATGACCCATAGAGATCGTATATACGTATGAAATATAAGATTTCTATGCTATGACCATATGCCCACGTTGGGCCAACATCGTTCCCCAACATGCACGTTCCGCCAACGTTTCCCACCTTTACCCGACGTGGGCCCAACGTAACGTGTTATCGGGGGACTTACTGAACCAGATGGGATGGGATGGAGACAAAATTGGAGCATAGGTGAGTATAACTCAATCATGCCCTCCCACCCACTCCCCCATAGACTCATCCCTGGTGGAGTCACTTTCAACTATCTCTTCATTCCGTGCAACTAGAGACAGGTACATGCATCACATCCAATTAAAATTGGCAAAAGTAAATCATTGGAATAAATCTTGAAATGATTGTCTTGCTAAGTGATGTTCAAAATAAACTTCCATGAATGAATTTGGAGGCCCTGGTTTTCATTAATATTTAATGAGGCCTGCATTATTGTATATGGAGGTCTACTGTTGTGCAAGAGTGCCGTCAATATCAGGGTGGCAAAGAGGTGCTTGGTAAAAGTTGAGAACAGCTGATCAGATCTCACTCGCCCTGAATCATGAACCCCGCCGTATAGGATCCCCGTCCTACCTTCCATGATGGCAGCATGCACTTCTCTCACGCAGGCCTGACTGCCAAGGCTAAGAACGCGCTAAAATTGCATTCGAACATTCAAAACGGAAAGTGATGCCTTTTGTTTCTCAAAAATGAGTATTAAGACCTTCAAGCTACAGATAAATGTCGTAATGTATACCATAAACGTATGCATACGTTTATGGTATACGGGAATTACGCCACACGACCAGGCTATTACACATATTCCGCTTACATGTGCCCATCGGACACAGTTACCTGTACGCTGTGCGTAGGGTTGCCCAAGTGACTGTACCCCCTAGGGATATTGTGTTTCTCCTTAAGTTAGGCCAGGTTAGGTTAGGGGGTTGGGTGTGGTGTGTATTTTATATAATAGGAATCCCAATCAATTGAGATTCAAGGTGACTACTCGCGCTCAGTTAACCGGATGCGTTTGGTTAACTCTAAGCGGAACAATCATGGTGCGGAGAGCCTGGGATAACATAGACATATGCACCCATACTGTCATTCATCATGTTATCTGCAGTACTTGTGTCTGACTTGGGCCTCCTAGACTTTTGTCCTGGATAGGTTAACATCTGACCACATTTTGTGACATCAGTGTTACAGATTGAGTAATGGCATCATCCCATTGAGATATATGTGCAAAATTTCATGTTGCAACTGCCCTTCTGCTTCAATAATCTGACACATGACTTCACAGTCATTAGACATCATCCTCTTTTCTGCATCAAAAAATGAATTATGGAGTTAAGGGAGTTAAGGGAGTTTGGAACTTGACCATAGGGCCTTTCCACAAGTCTGAGATAATTCTTGACTCTAAAACAACCCCTCCCTTTCTTGTGGGCTTTCCAATTTGTCACATTTTCCATGAGTATTAACTAATGGTTGTGTGATTGCATTTATGAAACAAAAGATATATTGAGAAGCAAATGTGGCTTTTAAAATTTTAAACTCCAAGTGACCCTCATGGGAGCTCCAATGTAAACACTTAGGTCTGCTGCAGAACCATCAAAATCTAGCAACTCCCATGGTTACTCACAACCTAGCATTTTATTCACTCTTGGTTCACACAATTTCGTCTGTTTTATTTCTTCTATCCCAAAAGTCAACTTATTTGTTTAAAAACAACTATCAATTCTCATCCTTTTTCGTATCTATCATGATTGCCTTCAGTCTGCTGGATTCTCTCCATGCTTATATTACATTTCAAATTGAATGAAGTCTCAAGTGGATTTGATTGACCATTCCATGGTAGGGAGACGGAGGGAATGACTTCTGCAGAAAGGTTATGTTGAGGGGGGGGGGGGCTGGGTAGTGATAAGGGAGCCTAATAGGAGATGACTAAAAACCTGTTTATAATAGCCAGCTACACTGATTTAAGATTGAATTGATATTTCCCCCCATTGGAGCACTTTCACCAATTCCAGGTTATGACATCTTCCAGCTGGGTGGCTTAGTGGATCATTTGATGGAAGTGCATTTTCTGGAAATAGTGCTTTCTCTATTCCCACTACCCAGGGAAGTACCAGTTCAATTCAAACAGTGTATTGCCATGGTGTAGTTTTTTTTGTCAATCATGCCTTTCCAATTTGCTGCACCCTTGTAGCTGACTCTCACAGTAGCTGTTGTTGCTGCAGCTTGTTCACAGTAGCTTGTTCATTTTCACCCATGTGAAAATTTCATAAAAGACCATATATGAATGGCCATATATTTAGTCAGTCTAACATATATGGGGCATATATGAATATAAAAGGCAATTCCCATATAACACATATGAGGTTTGACACAAGTCACATAAAATCATATAAGAATAAAGAAAGGGTTCATAATCATTTAAGAATGAAAATATATCACTCCATATATTTTCATATATTGGCTCATACAACTGCACCATATATGCCATGTCACATTGTTGATATATGAAATTAAACACTATATGTAAGGTACGAACAGTTGAAACATACCCACATCCTAAATGAATTCATAATCCATCAAATGCTGTAAAATCATTGGAATGCCTGTCACCATACTGGACTTCCTTTTCTTAATTAACTCATTTTTATTTCTTTGTTGATCATAGCCAATTACTCCAAGAATTTATGTTTCATGGTGTTTAACATATGTGCAGTTGTTACTGAAGGTGATGTTTAAATATTATGCATTTTTACTTTCAGCTCTAATTTCATCAGTAATGCTATTTCATGACAAAACTTGACTTACTCATGTAGGAGTGTCTTCTTAATTTTGAACAGATAACTCAAAATTAGATGGGAACAAAAACTATTTCTTGTGAGAAATAATCCAAAGAAGGAATATCCATTGAAAGGTAAATTGAAGGAGTTGTCCATTCACTATGGTTAGGACAAGAATGTCAATGCTGGTATGATAATATTTGGTATCAAGTGTATCCTCTGGGTGTCCTACTTTCTCTGTTTTTCACTGCCCAGTGGTGGCAGCATTGTGAGGCCATGGGGAGCACATGCCCCCCACTTTACACACAAAAAAAGAGAAGCATTAAAACACTAGAAGGATCAGAGTGGTCAATTTAACCACTGCAAAGTAGCATAAAACTATTCTTTGCTAACATTTTATTTGCTTTTTCCAGATATTATTTGGCATATTCAAAAATGTCAATATTAGATAGGAAATGTAAGAACTGCAGAGGCCCTTAGTTACCAAACGAGCAGAGTCAAGTGCATTAAAAGTCAGCAAGCAGTCGAAGTTATTTCCTTAGTACTTCTAGTGTTAATAAGAAGGAAAAGGCACATGAAATGCTGTGTAACAGTGTCCTAGAGCAGTGGTTTGCAAACTGGGGTGGCACAAATTGTACTTTGGGGGGCATGAACCTATGCCTACACTTAACCTTTTTTCTCAGAATTAGGAGTTTTGGGGTTCAAAATCAAATAAAAGGGGAAAAGAATGAAGAAAAGCACTATAAATCTTGGAAATTCTAAGGGAAAATGATCAAATATTCAAATAAATTATTTAAAATATAATATTTATTTAGAACACTCATACTTTGTGTTATGTTAGGATTTAATCTTCATGCAACATGCCTGATTCCTACCCACAATGTCATGTGTGAATCACTAATTAAATTATTAAAGTATTAATCTTTTATGAAACTACAAAAAATAATTAGAAGCAAGTGTGCTGGGCTATGTTTTTACTAATATCTATAAAGTAGAGCTGTCATGATAGGTCAATGCTTTGATACCACTGTCAATGGTTGGAGGTATCAATAGTTTTTTTTACCATCATGATGTATTGACAACATTTTTAAAGGGAAAATGTCCCATTGAATTGAGATGAGTACAGTACAATACAGTCCATCTGGGTGGTAAAAGAAAGAGGCATTTTGTGATATTGCATTATTCTCAGTAGCTCTGATTTTTTAATGTTATTCTATGAAAACCATATGTCTGTGCTTCCTTTCTCTTGCCAACTTACCTGAAATTACAGTCAGTTTCTGATGAAAAGGAACTAGTGGAGGGGGATAGGGGGTGTAACTGAATACATGGTTGAAAAGGGGGTATGACCTGAAAAGTTCATGCACTGCTACCCTAGAGTTCCCATTCCCCCCACTTGTTTCATCCTTGATATGCTTTTGCTACATAGGAGGGTAGGGGTTTGAAATAAATATTTTCTGAAGTTACTTTAAAGTTTGTACATTGCTAATATTTCATGTACAATGTTAGGTGAATTAAATATTAGTTGCCGAGGCATCAGAAGGTAAGGCCCGTGTAAGAACCTCATGCAATGGCATATTTTACATGGGAGGCAAGGAATGCAGGTGCCACCCCCCCTCCTCCCTTGGCACCCCTGGGACAGAAATCAGTGCCCCCTTGAAGGTAATATTTTTCTCCCCCAATATCAGTTGGGTGGGGTTTGAGGACCTCCCGCTAGGCTACCCTGCCCTCCCCAGCTCTTCAGCCAAAATATACCACTGACCTCATGCTATGTTCACTAACAACTATAAGACTTGTCTGTGGATATTCATCACATGTCAGACATGATGCCATTAGCCCATTACTCTTGATATTGTTATACAGATCAAATATATTATATGCCATACAATTGATAATATATGAATACATATATGGTGGTATATGGCAAATACATGATCATACATGACCATATGGAATCATACACCCTGTCATATATGGAATTTTCACGTGGGTACTGCTAATGAAAGTCAAAACTAAATTTATTTTTTTACCTAATTTTATTTAGATTCATAAGAATTCAACATTTGAGTTAGCCCTTGCAGATCTCTCATTCACTGTGTTTCTATTCAAAGTAAGCTTATTAGTTTTATGAGTTTTTCATTTTAGGAAGCAGTAAAGTAGGGCATTGAGCTGCCATCCTTTAATATATATTATTCTTGGGTTACAGGCTAGATAAATTCCAAAGGTATGGAATGGCAAGATTTGCTTTCAATTTTGATATTGAAGATTTGAAGGATGATGATGGAAGTAGCATTCATACCTATGTGAATCTGCCTGGTGAAGCTCATCTTGAGCCTTTGTACCATACCCAAAAGCCACATAGTGTGCATTTATCTGAAACCATCCTAAAGAGCTTTGAAGCCATACCAGAAGAAGAAATAATAAAAGGACCTGCAAGCATAAAATATATTTCACCTAATTACCTTGAGCATCTATTGATGAAGGATGAATGCAAAAAGCAACTTGTGTCTGAATATGATTGTGTACCACATGTGTATGAGGGTGGGCTCAAGATTTGGGAAGGATCCCTGGACTTGGTGCATTACCTGAAAGATAACACTAATTCATCTTTGAAGGGCAAGCGTGTCTTGGAACTGGGTTGTGGATTTGGGCTTCCGGGGCTTTATGCATACATTCAGGGTGCGAGAGTCACATTCCAAGACTTCAACCAGGAAGTCCTTGAGTCCTGTACAGTTGTGAATGCTCTTCTCAATGCCAATGAAAAGAATGAAGTAGAGCATGATTGTGAATTCATTCAAGGGGATTGGTCCATACTTGCAAGTATTCTAGAACCAAGAGCATTTGATGTCATCTTGTCATCAGAAACAATTTACAACAGTCAGTCAGTGCCTCATCTGTGTGACTTATTGAAGCATTCCCTTGACCCTCAAGGTGTGGTATACATATCTGCTAAATCTTGCTATTTTGGTGTTGGTGGTTCCATTCAGCAATTCTGCAGCATTTTGCAAAAAAGGTGTCCTGAACTTGCATGTGAGACTGTTTGGAGAGTGGGTGACTCTGTCAAAAGAGAAATCCTGTGTATTACTCACAAGGCAAACTGAGAAAAGGTGATATGGCAACCAAGAAGGCTCATGTGATTCTCACTGGACCTCCAGGTACTTCATTGCTCCTTTCACTATAATAATGCACAGGAAGTTTACAATTTCTATTTCCCCTTAAAATACCTATTGGAAAAAATGAATCCATGACTTACATCATTGGAGAAGTTAAGCTTTCTCTATTTTTAATTTTACATGCAATAGTATTCATGATGTATTGGTGGAATTATAAGATATGTTGCAAAAGTGTTTGGGTAGAGGTGGAGATTTGGACAGGCAGCTTACACTGATGATTATGTTTTCCATTAGATCCCCTTTTTTCTCTTAGACTCCATTTATCAAAATGGAACTTCAAAGTAACAGTTGTTTCTTTAAAGTCACCCTTATTATTAGCATGTGCGTGTAAATTGTACAGCCCATTATTGTGGTCTCAGGATAAAATACCTTGTAAGTATGCCCATACTTGAAAAAATAAAGTAAAATAAAGATGAGAAGTGTGTTTTCCAGTTATGAAAAAATTGCAGAAATATATATTTTCCCTTCCAGAAGTTAATTTGGTCCATTTAGGGTTAAATGATAAGAGTTTTTTCCTCACATTCCCATAGTCTGGACAATCTCCATTTCTCTCCCAAGTGAAAGGGAAACAAAACATTTATCCTCTTGGAATAGCATCCAGCTGTAACAGTGTGTTTCTTAAGTGCCAATCCTGATATGTGGACCATAAAGGATGTTTTGGCATTCCTAGCTGGCTGACAGTTTTGTAACTTAACACGTTGACGACCAGCCTATTTTTGCTTGTCCGCCGCGTGGGAAGAGGGTATTCATTGAAAAAAAATCTGCATCCTGGCATCAGGACGCATTGTCGCCAACGTGTTAAGAGTATATTGTTGTAAACCAGTTGTGCTTCTGATATTTCTGTGGATACAAAAGCAAGTGCCTAAGAGTTATTCAAAGGTGCAGTTTTAATGGGTGACTCCCTCTTGTAGCATGTCATCAAAAGACTGAGGTAAATGTGGTTTGAATAGAATGACAGCATTAAAGCCTGTCGTATTGACCAAGGCTTGTTGTGCACCAAGCTGAGACATAGCTTATAACAAATTTCCTGCACAACTGATAAAAGGACAGTTATTTCCTTTGGTTCCATGCTTAGGCTAGTCTACTCTGAAGGGTCATTCTAGGCAGTAGGCTCACCCTTCTTACCTACTTTCCACCTGGGAGTTTATGCCCTCAGAATTATGACATTTGTTTTGAGTTACTGACTCAACTGCCACTGAGACATTTCTAACTGGAAGTGTCTTCAAAATTACCCTAGATAATGTAGAAAGAGATGCAAAAGAATTGGGATTTTCAGAGATGTTGAAACAATTCAATGTACTTGTTTTTGTATCTGCAAGCCCATAGAAGTGTAGTGTTTCTGTAGTTCGAGTTCATGGCACATTACCTCAATTTACCAAATTTTCATCACCATTCTACTTGTTTATTGTTGTAAATACTTAAAGTTATACTGTTGCATGTCAGATGAGACAGGAAAATACAGCATTTGCCTTTATTTATGAGCATTGATCTAGTCTGCCATGATCTAGAGACTTAACAAGGGCAACAATGACTAGGATCAGTATACATACTAGGACTAGTATGTAAGTTTGAGGCCTGCACTTGACTCAAAATCAAAGTGCCAACTAAACTACTTGACTTGACCTGACCCAAACAAGCAAAACAATTCAGTCCATGTTTACCAGTTTCTTTCAGGATGAAGCTATGATCATGGAGATGCAATACTATACCCTCTCCACAAACTGATTGTCTGTTGCTCATAGTCCTCATCATTTCTGATTAATATGCATAAACAAGAGATGGTCCAAGCACCATATCTGGCCTTCAGTCATTTTCCCTCATAGTTACTTGGAAGAATGAGATTCAAGTCCATATGCAGATTGTCAGTTATCCCAGTCAAGGGCTAGATATAAAAAGAAATTGTACAAAAAATAAATTGACCTGACCCAAGGAAGAATTTCCAGATTTTTTGGTTTTACATGGGCCCATTTGAGGCACTAGGGCCAGCATATTAAGACCTACAAATAATTTCAACATTAGCAACTAAGCCTTTTAATCATACAAGTTTTCTGATTGCATGGCTGAATAGGTATCTTGTATCTTCTTTTCCATCTTGAGAAATTTGGTTCTGCTCATCTTATGTTGACTCTGAACCCTCATTTATCTCTTTATTTATTTATTTATTCAGTTGAATCTTCAGGATGCCTTGGCTTCATTTGCAAATTTGTTACCATTTGTTTACACAGAGCCTGGATTTGTTTTCATGGTCCCTATCTTAGGCATTGGAAAGACAACATTGGTCCAGAAATCTACTGCCTACCTCCAGTCACATGGGAAGGAAGTTAGTGGCTTCTACACAGAAGAAGTAAGAGAGGGCGGGAAAAGGGCTGGCTTTGACATTGTCACCATGGATGGGAAACGTGGCCCTTTGGCTCGCATCTTGTGAGCTTTTGTCTTTCTTGCCTTTCTTCACTACCATGTCATAGGAAGAGTTGACTCCTGTTGGAAAAACCTTCAATGTGAATTTGTCAATGGTCAATAGCTGTTATATGCTGGGTATCATACTATTATCTAGTGTCCAGCATATCTGGTGCCTATGCAAGATCCCCCCTTGAATGGATTGGATGGATCTATATCTGATTGCATTGGGGGCCAAATATCCAGTAGAAGGGCAGGTGGTTGGGGAGAAGACGAGTGTATGCGTGAGTAGGAATGAGAAATCCGGTCTCACAAGAAAGAAAAAGCAAGATGGGATGTGTTGGGAAAAGGTTGAAAGGGGGCTGCTTCTCCCCATGGAATCCTATATACCAAGGATTTTGTTGACCTTGTCATAGCAGCATGCAAGGTCATTCTGCTTATTAAAAAAGCACAACTTGTGGGAACATGGAGAAAAATGGAGGCAGCAGAAAATGGACATGGGAATGTCATGCCCATGGTACTCCTTTCAAGAAGTTTCTTGTAGCTTTGGCCCCATGTTAGCATCTACTTTCAGCTGTCTCCATGTGCGAGAGGATCGTCCCAAACCTAGCAATTTCCTTATGGCCCCAAAGTCCATTCTTACCTCTTCCAAATTTTCCTCCCATCACTGCTTCTCTGTTCCTCTCATTTCTCTTAACTTTCTGTCTGCCTGCACTTTTTTTCTTTCAAGTGCTCTACTTTTGCCACTATAATTTAAAGGCAAGTTTAATCTTTTATTAAAGTATCTGGAATTACATAGCAGTAATACTTCAGTACAGGCAAGGCAAGTTCTTCTAACAAAGTCTGCCTCACCCATGCAAAGTAGGAAGTGAGAGGAGATGAAAGATTGAACCATTGGGATTACCTTTACAAAAAAAGGGAAAGAGATGGCATGCAGGCACAATTGCCATGCTCCAGTTCTTGCCATATACATGCTGCAGAATATCTAGCCTTAGACCTACCCATTTCATCACCAGTCTCAAGTATTTTACAAAAGGGAATGTGCTTCTTTTGCCAAATTTACCTCTTGGCATCCAATCAAAAAAATAGCCACTGCACCATTGAGGTAGAACAAGAGGATGAAGCTTGCAGAATCAGTGTTGGCTCATTTTTAATGGTTCTACATCCTTGGCTCAGTCAGATTTTACAAGCTGAATGTGAAATGGTTTTAGGTGTTCTCAATTATCTCTTTTAAACAATGTGATACTTTTTTTTTTACAACTAGTACATCATCTGACAATGTTCTTTTATATTGTATTCTTTCTGCTTAAGGAAACTAAGACTTGAGTTTGTTCATTATCATTAGTACATGTCAATCTTCTCTTACAGAGGTGGCCAGGGACCTAGAGTAGGGCAGTATGTAGTTGATGTCAAGTCTTTGGAAGATCTCACACTTCCTGTTCTGACAAATCATGTGAGAGATTATCCTTGTCTCAGTCTTCCTTATCTCTGAATCTTCCACAGTGAACTCTGAGCTATGTATTTCTCAGTCAAATGGAGTGCTGATCATCGATGAGGTAGGGAAGATGGAATGCTTCAGCGAGAAGTTTGTGTCTAGTGTGAGACAAGCATTTCTAGATGCAGGGGTGAAAATTCTTGCAACAATCCCAGTTCCTCGTCTGCATCAAATCCCGCTTGTTGAAGAAATTCGGAGTTCTCCATCCATCAATCTCATCACAGTGAGCTAATTTTAAGATATATTAGGCACACTCAATTTTTATTAAACAGTTCTGGAGCGATTGAGCTCTTTGCTCCAAATTTTCCCCATTTGTGAAGGAGGGGGTTTCTCAAAAATATTTGTCAACAGTCTTCAGCACTTTCTAACATCCTGGGACTTACCAACTGGGCAGGCTGCCCAGTTGGTAAGTCATGCACGAATCGTGCCCTTGACATTATCTCTAATAAAGTTCATACAGGCGCTTTTTTTTTGCAGACGCCGTTTATTGTGAAATTGTGAATAAGCTGTTTTATAAATAACTGGTTATTGCCATCAACCCGATCTTGTGATAAAATCTCGAAATTTGGCCACATGTGGCCGGTGGGCCGATGGCCGATTTTTTCCTCATTACCATCGGTCGGTGCCGATTGTGGCCTGTAGATGAAATCGCCTATATATTCTGAAAGGTTTGATTGGAAGCCATGTGATCACTGCCGGATTACGAAGTTGCGAGGCCCGGGGCAGGTGAATTCCTGGGGCTCCCCCCCCCACCCCGCTACTTTACGTAAGTACAATTTTTTTTTAACTTAACGTTTTTAATTTCCTTCGGAGGCCCCTTGGAAGAGTGGGGCCCGGGGCAACTGCCCCCTTTGCCCCCCCCCCCCCCCCCCCCCCCCCCCCCCCCCGCCACCCCCTCTTTCCCCCCCCCCCCCCCCCCTCCCTTAACCCGGCCTTGCATGTGTTACATATCAGTAGACCTTGAAACGATAGAAACCATTTTTGGTCCTGTCCAGCCTGTCTGTCTCTATAAGACTGTCAGTGGTTAGCTTGGTACCCATTGCTACTGTTGAGAGCATTTAGTGACATCCCTTCCAAAAGTATGACGTAAATGGAAATGCAATGATCTCCCGTTCTTTGCCGCTACCTTCCTCCGCCGGTTACTATAATCCGGCTGGAATATAATCCGATCGATATTTTTGCCTAGGAGAGGCTGGCAGGAGTGGCTTTCAGTGAGACAGGAGAGCCGACGCCTAGCCGCGTTCACGTTCACGTAGGGTAGGTGATACAAATTCTGACCCCCTCAGAGCCCAGAGTCCGCCCCCTCACCCACGGTTTGAAATTAATTTTTTGGAGATCTATGCCAATCGAGAGGAAAATGCCCACAATGCCCATTCACGTTTAGAGACCGAACATTGGTTTAATTTTGTTGAAAAAGGCTGTTTGTACTTCTGATTACGTTGAAATATGTAGCGTGGGGGCGGACTTTATAGCAGGGTCAGGAAATTTGTATCACCCACCCTAATTTGTTTTCACTTTGCCCGTCCTTTAGGCACCGGCGCCATAGGTCGATGGCGCCGATAGTGCAACACCGTCGGCCGATATTGGTGTTAGTCGATGCATCGGTACAATCCTACTCAAAACCTTAACCAAGTCCCTTATTTCTTGAATATTTTTCTCCTGTTAATCTTATCGTAGTCGCCAGTTACAAAGGACGTGCAACATGTAATTGGACTAGGGTTGTACCGATGTATCGGTAGCAAAGCGAAAAAAAATTACGCGAGGGCAGTGTAGGAAAAAAAAATTTCCCTGAGGTGACGAATAGGAATTTCCCGGGAAGAATATGCAAGCGGACTAAGCGTGCCGCCCGCCCGCGCGGCTCTGTTCCCGCGAACCACGTTCGCAGGTTCGCAAGGGTTTTCCTAGCCTGCGTGAGGGTGTGAACGCGCCTCGGCGACGGCCCTCATGTCTCACTGAGAGCCACACCTGCCAGTCTTTCCCATGCAATAAATATCGATCGGATTACTGTATGTTACAGCCGTATTATAGGAACCGGTGAAGGAAAGTAGCGGTAACGAACGGGAAATCATTGCATCTCCATTTACGTCATACTTGTGCAAGGGATGTGTCACTAAATGCTCTCAACTGCTGCAATGGGTAGCAAGCTAACCACGGACAGAAGCATTGAGAGACAGACAGGTTGGACAGGACCAAAAGTGATCTCTATCGTTTCAAGGAGGCCTACTGATAAGTATCACATGGTTTCCAATTAGACCTATTTGAATTTCTAGGCGATTTCTTCTACACCGTAAAAAAAAATAATGGTTCAGGCTGGAACTCTTCAATGGTTCTACACTCTTGAAAAGGTACTAGGTACTGTAGAACCGAATGAATTGGTTCCATCACAGATGTAGAATCATATGAAACTCCATCGTTCTTGTAGAGCCTCTGGAACTGGCCATTGGTTCTAGGTACAACCATTTCTTGTGCTTTCTCAAAATGGTTCGAAAAAGGATCCCTTCAGGGCTTGATACGTATATATTTACCTAGCGAAGGAAATACAACCTCAGCGGGACCCCTCCGGGGCATTAGTATTCAATAGAGTACTATGAAACCCCTGAGATCCTTCCGTGGCCCTTTGGAGGGATCCCTCCGTGGGATGACAGTACTTGATAAAAGTACTATCTTTAATCTAATATACATGCAATCTTATCACCTAATCGTTATTAGTTCTCGTTCAGACCCAGGAAATGGCGGAGATACTATAATGCCCAAACGTTGATAAATCAACATTTTCTCCAAGTTGACAACGTTGTTGCGCCGAATGGTTGAGTTGCATTGAGTGATGGTTCTGTGGGGTGAAACCCTGTTATTCCCGAAAGGGTTTTAAGTGACACCTTCTGTAAAGGTGCCACGCCACATATAACCTTTATAGGTGGTTCTCTATGGAACCACAAGAAAGTTTCACTGTAGAACCAGTAAGGAGCTCCAGGGAGAACCGTTATTTTTTTTACAGGCCACAATTGCCACCAGCACTGGTCGATGGTTATGAGGGAAAAATGTTGCCACCGGTACAGTCCTAATTTTGACCTTTCCAATAACAGTGGTTTCCGAGTTGGTTTCTCTCCTTTATCTTTTTTTTTTCTTTATCTCCGAAAGGTTCCGCTTCCTTTTCGCCCTCTCCCGGGGGAGGGAGGTGGAGGGAAATGGGATCCCCGAAATCGGGACTCCTTTTTCCCTCTATAAATTTCCTTCCTTTCCCCTCCATCTCTCACTCTTTCTCAGCAGTTACCAATTCTCATGGAGAGGAGAAAAGGAAATGGTGGGAAATCTTTTCCTTTGGTGATCAAGAGTGGCTATTCTTCCGGGCATTGACGAGAGAGCTAGAAACGCCCTTAATTAAAATTAAAATCTGTACACTGGCCTGTAGACCAACATCGAGGGTCTAATATGTAATGACCTTACGAGCATTACATCTTTTAATAAAGTTATTAAGCAATAAAACTACTGAATTTTGAGCTTTCAAGGATCGACGTGTCTTGTTATCGGCCTCTTGATGTTTTGAACAATTTTGCACCAATGTGATCTCGATAAACGGCATCTATTGTATCTACATTCTACATTGAAAGAACTTCGGTGGGGTTTCTGCCTTGCCCAGCAGAGTAAATAAGTGAGCCCGCCCAGTTTAAAAAGTTTCCTGGTTAGAACCCTGCTCATACGTGTATATCTTGGCAGTGGAATTTCGCTGACGCGAAGCCTTGGGACCTGTTCCTCGCCTCTGCTGAAGTGAATCCTAATCTAAGTTAAATCTAATCTCAAAACGGCATTTCGCCACTGAAGTGAGGAATAACAGACCCCCTCGGCTGCTTTTTACGTTTCAGGTCAAGTTTCGTAGAGGAAAGGAACAGGCTCCAGGTATTCACAGCAGAAGATATCTTCATCCATTTGGAAGTGTTCTCACATCTAAGTAAGATGGGTACATATTTGAGGTGGTTCTAACAACTTATACGATAGGGTAAAACCACCAAACCCGACAGACAGTACCTAAATGGCACAAGCTGGATACTTTTTTTGTCCGCCTTGGAGCGCGATATGACTTGTTACGAGTGTTCCAAATAAGTTGTCCTTCGAAGCCTAATAGGACTTCGAAGCCCTATAGCTTCTGATGGTGCCTATTATGTGAGTGTCCGAACTTGGGTGAGAAAAAAATTAAGTTCGAACGCATCTTGGTTTGGGCATGCCAGAAGTAAAGCGGAAATCTGCTCGTAGCATGTGCGTTCCATGTAGAACTACTTTATGCTCCCTAGTTTCATGTGGAATTAGAATTGAGCACAGAATTACCAATACCGCGTATGAAACGTTTCTCATGTCAGGTCGTCTCTGCACGTTTTCTTGAATTTCTCCTGCTTGCAATATGACATTTATTTTCAGTCTAATATTTCGAATTCGTGCTGAACTACTGTGGCCACCTCTAGACATTTGTTCTGCGGACTATCTTGCGCATGCTTATTTTTACGAGCATGCACGTTAGTGTCCAATCTTATGTACTGTCCGCACTTAGGTGGTATTACCCTACCTAGTTTCTAATTAGCATTTAAAGACACGTTGAAAGGAATGAGGGGAAAATGCTGGATTGTTCTACCTCCATATGATAGAATGTGGAATATATGAAATCATGTCTTTCCTACTTTTCAGGTAGATAAAATGAATCGAGACTTACTGTTGGAAGAAGTGTGCCAGATGCTAGCTTGAATACATTGAGGGGTGGGGGTGGGGTGATCACTGTGAGATTATTTTCAAACATCCTCTTTTGTTCTTTCCGCGGCAATAAAAAAGAATATCATTGAATAGACTCGAGCATTTTTGTTTCGCTATGGTGTCCTTTGTAGGGAATGAATCGAGTCCCATGATTTTGTCGAGAACAAAGGATCCGATAGGTAGCACGAGTTTTTCCTAAAAAAAATAAGAGGAGAAACAGGGCTGATCATGGGGTAGCTGTGTCCTTGGACAAGATTACTGTACACATCGGTTGCGCTCTGGAACACCAGTCAACCCTTTACCTCCCCCTGTTAACGTCAGCTGGCACAAAACTGACCTGCCGTTCGTAAAATTATAATTTTACGAGGGGTGCTTACAAAGTTCTGGGAATTTGCGTGCTAATTTTTATTAGGCTAATTTCTTCGATGTTACTGTGCAATTTTTCAATATAATCACCATTTAGCTGTATACATTTGTGCCAGCACTATTTTT